TTTCAAAACTACAGCCCTTTAAGAAGAATCTTGTCTGCCATCTGCTGGACACTTTCGGTTGTGCTCATATTTAGACGTCCTATTTTGCAAATGCTGCCTTTTTGAAATTTGGTATGCTTGTTTGTCTTTGTGTCTATGCTGTAATAATAATGATGTGATTGTGATGCTGTAATTCTGAGTGTTTTATGCGCTGCAGAACAGGAACCTGCTGTAAAACAGCAATTATGCTGAGTCAGGCTTGATTTTTAATAATCTTTTCCTGTTGAACCAATAAATCAAATCAAATCAATTTTATGAACTTTTACACTGTTAGAACTTTGTCAATACATGATAATGTATATAGAAATCAGTGGTAGCAGTGAGCTGTGGAACGCTTCTGGTGAAGCCTGGGGTCAATTTATTATTGTTTTTAAAAATTTTTTGCAATGACATTAGTTTAGTTTGATGTTTTCTCAACCAAACAATGCCTATGTTATTAAGATTTTAAGATGCAAATGTTGAGTTATCAAAGCTGCTGAATACATCAGTCTACTTGTTTGGCATGTCTGGTCACACTGCAAAAAATATGCATCTAACCAAGTTTTAAAATCTTATATCCAGCCAAAAAGTCTTTTTGATCTTGTTTTGAGACTTATTTACTAAAAAACAACTGTTTGTGTAAGAATAATCTTGTTTTCAGAATGTGTAAGATTATTTGTCTTGTTAGCATGAAAATTTGACTCAAATAAAGTCAAAATTTCTGCCAATGGAGTAAGAAAATTTTACTTGGTAAGATTCTTGAAATACTTGATTTGACTCAATTTTTTCTTATTTCAAGAATCTTAACAAGTAAAATTTTCTTACTTCATTGGCAGAAATTTTTGACTTAATTTGAGTCAAATTTTCAGACTGACAAGACAAATAATCTTACACATTCTGAAAACAAGATGATTATTCTTACACAATCAGTTCTTGATTAGAAAATCAGTCTCAAAACAAGATCAAAAAGATTTTTTTGGCTGGATATAAGATTTTAAAACTTGGTAAGATGGACAGTTTTTGCAGTGCAGTCCAAAAGTTTACTCATTAAGTCGAGGAAAACAACGGTAAACTAAACAGTATCGTGCAAAAATGTAGATGTTTAGCTTACATAGTGCTTATTTAGTGTTCTTTTACACAGATATGGCATTTTTGAGAAAGAGCAGGTTTGTAAGCACTAACAAAAACAATAATAGAGAAAGCATGGTTTGGCTAGCTATTAGCTTAGCCTGGAGGGAAAAAAAAATCATGTTTTGTGATTCATCTCACCAGTTTCTAACTATAAAGGACTCTTTCTTTCAGATGGCAGCAATCCAAGTTAGAAGTGGGTCTGTTCAGGCTAGCCTTTAGCCTTTAGCATGCAAGTGGATGTACTTACAAAGTAAACTCCAATTCTCAAAAATCTTATAGTGGGTCATGCAAGTTTTCTTATTTTAATCTTTATATTTTGCTCAATTTCAGATAAAATGTTTATTTTATTTATTTTAATCAAATTATTACAAGGTTCCTATGGGAATAGTCTGAACTATAAAACCTACAGCTAGCTCTTGCTAACAGCGCTTAGAACACTTTGATGGAAATAAACATTKAATGCCAAACTGACAGGTGTGTAAAACTTTCTAAAACAGTGTTTGCGTGAGCTGCTAAAAATCTTTTGAGATTGGAGTTGTTTTAGGGCAACAATCCATGTTGGTTTTGACCTCAGCTGGATTAGCTGTTAGCTTGTCCATCCTCTCAGATTAAAACTCCGCTTTTTCCAAACTGAAGCCTTTAAAAAACACCTTCACATCTTGTACAATAAAAATATTCATTAGGTTTCCACCTAACTTCAAAGTGGTGGAAATATCCTTTTGAAGAAGCTAAAAAAAAGAAAACAAGACACATATGATTGTTGTTTGCTGTCATGGTCATTATTTAAAAACACATCAAAAATAATTTTCTTTTTTTTTTTCTTTTTCCAATTTACTTGACAAACAGTTACCATGGAAGATGTATTCTTCAGAAGTTTGGTCCTTATAAATATGCATTATATACAAAATAATATTATAAAACATATAAAGAACAGTGTCATATTTAAATTAAACTCTGGAAATAATCAATAAAAAACATTACATTATTGGTTCTTCTGCTTTTGAGATTCATTATAGGCAGGCAGTGGTGTGACAGTCTTCCTCATTGTTTAGTTTTTGTCTCTGTTCGTTGCATAAAAAAATTACTTTCCTATGCGCACGTTTTCTTGGATTGTCCTGGCACTGCACTGACAATTACTGGACTCCTGCAGCTTCTCTCTTGAAATCCCCGTTGATTAAAAAGCATTTTCCCACCCCTASTGTGTTTTTATCTTTTCCTCCTTCGTTTTCGTCTTGTAGTGCAAATGAACCGAGGACAGACAAGGGCACAAATTTAACTTCAAACACCCCTTCTTTTAAGGCTTCGAGTGAATTTTGGGCTGCATACAATCACCACCCTTTTACGCTGACCAAAACCAACCAGTCACTTTCACACGACTGACGGCAGAAGATCACTTTTGGACAATCGTCAGTTGTTTTTTTTTTTCCCGGAGTTGCTGAAGTTGGATTGTGACAGCGGGGGGCGAGTTCACTCCTTTGGACCCTGAGTCTTGCATAGCAGGCAAAGCTGGCAGGAGTGAATGTTGCGGGGTGGGTGATTTGTAGGGGGATCAAATCTTAGGCACCATTTTTCGCTGATTGGTTGGCTCTTAGAGTCATCGTGATTATCAAACAAGGCTGGGTCAGATACGAGGGGGGCAAATAATCCACCGTCGCCTCCTTTGACCGTCCAAGATGGCCGAGTCTGTCGACAAGCACTTTGCTGATGTTCTGTCTGTCGCTGGAAAAGGTCCTTCTCTGTACATGCTTTGCATACAAACGCTTGGACAATATAAAAACTGATCGGTCCTCCTGTCCTTTATGTGTCTTTTATTCCAGAGCAGAAGACTCTGCCCTTTCCAGTTCTTTAAGTGTTCCAGAGCAGCGGCAAACTTCTTCAAACAATCTCCAGTCTCTTTTCAGCATTTGTAAACAATCCAGAATATTAGATTCTGCCTCGATTGTGTCTCAGTCCTCCATTCAAACCTTTCTGACCCTTTCATAGTTCATACCTGTGGAGGAAAAAAAAGGGGAAAAAATGGAGTAAAACCAAATGCGAAAAAAAACATCAGATTTTTCAAGCACTTTTCAGCTTTATTAGCTCATTAGCTACGCCCTATGTAGTAAACCTGGAAATAATAAAAACAATAAAACATTTCAACTAAACACCTCTACAGAGAAACAAAGTGCCTTTGAGACCAAACAAAGCCAAACATGTGTGAGAAATCCTTATAAACTAGGGTTTTAGGTCATCTTACGGCCAAGATAAAGAGTAGTCAGCATAACTTACAGAAACTAATAAAGCATATAAAACGGGATTTTCCCCACTTTAGATGTAAAATCACAGAATAAAATTCTTCTACAAAGAGCAACAACCCATTTGGGGAATAACACAAATGGGGCGATGTAATACATTGGAAACAAATTATCCAAGGAAATGCAGATAAAGCTGTTGTTGATTCTTTTATTTGGCTTACCTCGGTTGCTATGACGCATTCCCTCCTCTCCTCTGCTATAACGAATACCGACTGGTACATAGAGTCTCTTGAGGGACATATCGTAGATATCCTACACTCTGGCTTTTCACTGCAAACACAAACCACACGTTGTGTTACTTCAAGCTAAAAATCCCACAGAGGGGCTGTGCACTGCACGCATACACATGGAGCAGGGTATGCGAGATTTCCACACTTGTAAAACCAAATTGGAAGGTTCAAACTAAACCACTGAGTGACTCTCGTTAACATTCCTACTCAGTAAGGCTCCATTTATACTGGTATGTATTTAGGGAACAAGTGGAAATTTCAAAAATACCAAAGTAAACATAACCAGAGCAAGAGTGAATGGTATTWTGGAAGTTTCTCTTACCTGTACATTCTACTCAAAGGCATTTTATCTTCTAAACACTTGTCATAAATAAGACTTTTATCCTCTTGCGACTTTTCATCCTTGAACTCTTTTGATTTAGAGTTGTAAAAGTCCAAGTGATAGTTTTTATGGATAAAGTTCGATTTCTCTGTATCACAGTCCACCTCCAGGCTAAGCTTCTGGTTAGTGTTTTTCAGCTGGGATGTTGGGATCAAGTTATCCCCCTGAACTTTGGACAAATTGTTCATAGTCTTCGTTTCCCCTCGTTGCCTTCGCGCCTGCCGGTGGATGTGCCGCAAAGCCAGGCCCACCATGCACAACAGCACAAGCAGCGCCATCAGACCCACGGCCAGCGAGACGGCCGCCCACTGGAAGCCGTCGTCTCCCGGTGGGCTGAAGGTGGCAAAGGATTCGCACCGCGCCCCGGTGAAGCCCGAGGGGCAAACGCAGGACGCCGGAGTCTTGCCCGGCCCGCCGCCTCCAGTGCAACTGCCCCCGTTGAGGCAGGGTTGAAGAGAACACTCGTCCAGGACTCTGTCGCAGTTGCGTCCACCGTATCCCGCTGGACAAGCGCAGAAGTAGTCGTTTATCCGGTCTTGGCAGGTGCCTCCGTTGAGGCAGGGGTTCCCGGCGCACTCGTTGATGTTTATTTCGCAGCGCGGTCCAGCGAATCCTGCTCGGCAGCTGCACATGCGCATGCCTCCTTGGAGGAGACACAGACCGCCTACAGGGGAGGAGATGGGAGAGTGAGTGTCGACAAAGGCTGATTGTGAAAAATCATTTTGAGGCATTTCAAAACGAGAGAAAACACGATCCCGACGAAACCTCCCATGAGGCCCCATTGGGTTCACACATCCCCGTCAAATTTAGTGCGACCGCAACACTGTGTATTGTTCTCTCAACAGAACAATCTTCGAGCTCCCAGTGTTTACAAGGAGACAGAAACTGAACCGCGCTTGTGTACTTGCCCCCCTTTCATCAACAACTGCAGCGAGCTGTGGTGGCATTTACAGGCTGCTGCTCGAAGCTGCTGAATGTTTACACGGAGGACAATAGGCACCAAGTTCCCAACAATTCCTGTTGTTCCACACCGCTTCCAGTTGTAGGAATTTGAAAGGAGGGGAGGGGGAAGGAGGGGAAGTTCGGAAAGGAATAGCGGGGCGGGTTGCAAAAGAGGAGAGGAAGACCGTACCATTAGCGCAGGGAAGCGACGTGCACTTGTCCATCCTCTTCTCACAGTTGAGTCCGGTGTAGCCAGGGGGACACTCGCACATGTAACTGCGACCATTGTCTTTCTCCCAGCATTTACCACTGTGGAAACACGGAGAGTCGGCGCATGTCAGCAGGTTGTGTTCGCAGTGGGAGCCTTCGAAACCTTGGGGACATGTGCACATATAGCCGCTGTCCAAGTTCTTTGGAAAAACAACAAAAGACCAAAAGTGAGCCAGGGGAAAGGGGAAAAAAAAGAAACAGAAATCACCAAGTATACATGTCACAGCATAGTCTACTTACTGTGCAGATCCCTCCGTTCCTGCAGGGATTGCTGTCGCACTCCTGCATCTCCAGCTCACAGTTGACCCCCGTGAATCCAGGCAGGCACGTGCACGTGTAGCTCCCTTGGCCAGTGTTCATGCAGGTGGCGCCGTTCAAACAGGGACGGTGATGCGTGCAGAAGTTCAGATCTGGAGGCGGAGACGAAACGTTTGTTTACCAGGTGCCTGAAGGCTGCTCTGGATGTGTGTGTGTGTGTGCAAATCTACAAATACCACTTCAGAGGAAACCTAATTTACTAATGCTTTCAAGTTAATTCAAACAAAAACAGAGCAGAGGTAATATGAGAGGCTCTCTTTAAAAAAAACGAACAGCAGCAGTGGTCCAAGTGGTGTGGTGTACCTTGGTCACATAATAGGCCTCCCCAGCCCTCCTGGCAGTTACACTGCCACGGCAGCTGGCAGGTACCGTGCTTGCAGGCCGGGTACTTCTTACACTCATCACAGAAAGTGCCCTGCCAGCCTTCTCTGCATCTGAAAAGAGACGACATTCTTGATTACCCACTTTTTTCTTTTCTTTCTGTCGGTTTTGTCATAAGACGTGGACAGACCAAATAAAACTGAAACATTTCAGCTTTTTATTTGCATGTGAAGTCTCTTGACATTGATTGATTAAACGCACCCAACCACGCTTTAAAACTTTGGAATTTACCAATGATGATTTAAAGGAATCAGTGATCTGCCACGCAACATTAGTAGCTCCTTTAGCGGAAAATCACGCATTACGTGATATTTTAATTCATTACAGATATCTAAAAGAATATGTTACAAAGTAAAGTGAAATCAACCTTATTTTTCCATAAAAGTGGTATAAAATCTAATTAAACTTTTAGATAAACAATGGAATTTTGTATTTTTCTAACAGTTTTCTTTTAGACTTCTTGTGAGGATCAGTTTTTCCCCATTTTTCGACTTTATAGATCCAAACTAAGGTTAAAAAAGAGCCATGGGAGCAGCTTTACCATGTTTTGCATCTCGAGGATTTACCCCCCAATTTGGGTCAGTTTATGAGCTGTAAATGATGGATTTAACTCTAAAACGAGGGCATGCTGGACTTCACAAGGAATTTCTCCCAGCGAGCGGTTGAGTGTGTGAATTATTCTCGCCGGTGAGTGAGCAAAGGAACGAGAGGAGGCAGTGACAGGAAGGGAGCACGGGAAGGAGAGGGACGTTACTGAGTGATGCGGGGAAACCGGAGAGAGCGCGAACTGAAAATTTTTGTTGATTTTCTGTGAACTTCTGCCTCTCTCAATAGATTATACAAGCACAAAATCCATGGCAGCTGGTGATTTTAGAAACAACAAAGCTTTTGCAAAAGAGGCCAGTGTTTCTGCCTGTGGAGAGGCGTTCCACCTGAAGGCGACTCCGTTCTCATGCGCTCCTTGGTGCATACACACGCAACAGCCAACAAGTATTTCAACACTTCCTAATTATCGATACTTACACACACTCTCCGGGTTTGGAGCAGTTTCCATTCCTCTCGCTGCAACCGTCAAGACAAATGGCTGTAATAGAAAAGAAACACACAAAGTTAAGCCTCCTCTTTGCTGTTGGTGTTAATAAAGCTTTCCTGTCACTTTTGACATCTTTAAAACTTTCAAACTGTTAAAAATAACAGCCGGGAAAAAAAAAAAAAGTCAGATAATCCATTAATGCTTGGTAATARCGGCCAGGGCTAAAGAGCTTTTATTTTCTTGAAATAGCCAACTCTGAGCGTGAGTGCTGAAGTACATGAGGCCTTATAGTGTCTCAACTTCGGTCATTTGATCTGAACCTGTCAGCCACACCCCCCAGCTGCTCCCTGGGTGTGTGTGTGTGTGTGTGTTGGGAGTTTGTTTGTCCTGTTTTAAAGTGTACCGGTCCTGCATGACACTGATTCTCAGGACAACATATCAGGCAGGACTGACAGTAAGCGGACGCTTTAGTCCAGAACAGATGCTCGCTCTCAATAGCAGACAGCTGTCACCATTGTTGTTTGTGGTCGGCCGCAACCATATTTGCAGCTGCTACTACCGCACGCCCAACAATGGCAGTGTGTGTGTGTGTGTGTGTGTGTGTGTGGGTTGGGTGGGGGGGGGGGGTAAACATCGGTGGCGCGTGGCGGATAATAATGCCGCGATTAACCTTGGCGCGTGCAGTCGGCCGGACTCCTCCTGTCGGTGCCCGCGTGCGCCTCTCGTCCCCCTCCTCCCCACCTCCCCTCGCCTCCCCGSGTGTGTGGTGTGGATTATGTTACAGGGCACGCGCTTCCATGTAAGGAGAAAAAAAAAACGTTTACGTTTACCGGTATTTTAACTACTGTGAATATAATATTCACCTGTGCGAACTGAAAGAAATGCAGACTGGTTAAGTTAGCTCAATTAGCATAAACTTTAACGGCATAGCTAAAGTAACACCAGGTAAGTTTTTACCCCTGTGAACCAAAAATGGTTAGCTTGTCGCATTAGCTTAAATTTGTTAAGGTATTAATTAGCATAAACTTCAAAGTTATTGACCTTTTTTACAGTTATTAAAAGCTCAACATCAGTATTTTGCCATGCATTGTGTGTCTAGGTGTATTCAGTTGCATTTAGCAGCAGCAGCAGATTGTGTTGAATCGCTTCATCACAGTCTCCCATCCTGAGCAGCAAACTGGCGACAGTGGAGAGGAAAAACTCCCTTTTAACAAGAAGCATGCATATTTCCAGTTTCCACATAGTCTAAACAGTGTTAATGTTTACCCGTGTTTCACCAGTGCTCTGCAGTCATACTGACAAAATGCAACATTGCTCGTTGTGGACATTTGATCACAAAGTAAAATAACAATAAAATCAATTAAAGTTTATACATATGTTTGTTTATATAAGCATAGAAAAGCAGGTGCAAAAGACTAGAGGTGAATGGCGATGTTGACTACTATGAAGGCATGATAATGTGGTGTGCATGCACAATAATAACTTAAATCTGTGAAAGTAGGATAATTTACATGAACATTAATGTCATGATTGAGCTACAGAGGTAAATAATCACCTCTGAAATGAACACTGACAGGATGTTTTAGCCTTTCTTTCAGGAATAATTGGCCTTAATTTTAATGTCATAGTTAAGCTAAATTAATGAAAATATTCACCTGCAAACTAAAACAAATACTGACTTCTTATATGGCCTTTGCATCCGGATCAGTTAGTGTCAACTTCAACGCCACAGCTGAGCTGAAATTTACAGCATCGATGTAAAAATGGGCTTCGAAACGGCTTCAAAAACCGCCTCCYGAAATGTACCGACTGAACCCAAACGACCAGGCTTGTTCAGATTTATGCGTGGGAGCGTGGGAACCACGGGGAATTATGGTGTCTGAAAGATGCTCAATCTGTCTCTCGCATGTATATTTTCTGTAGTCACTAGTGATTGATGCGTGTATAATTGTGACACGTGAGCCCATCTGGTTAGAATTTGGTGCCACAGTCAAAATAGCACATGCCAGTTTTTCGCTTTCCCCACCACGTGACACGGATGACAGATCCTCCATCACCCGTGCGGTCCCAAATCCAGCACATGGTAACTATTACTCTCACGGTGCCTCCTTCCAATCTATTCTTTGATTAATTGGTATTTGGTGAGAGGGGGGGCCCTTTAGCGTGTAGTGGCGCCAAATGGCATCCAGCCTCATGTTAAAGCTTTCCAAATCAGAGCTGGTTCATCTATGATTTGSCCAAGTGGGTTTGCACCAGTATGATGTTATCGTTCCACACTGTCTGAGTGGTCACAAACCCGCAACCAATTACACAACCGAATTATATGACCTCGAGAGGCAAATATCAATAAAGAGCACATTCTGCACCAAAACAGCCTCTCAGACTTTAATATATCATTATGTTGAGTTTAACTGAAGCTGTAATGATGATGACATCCTAACCACCACCGATATCTTTAACTTCTCCTTTTAGGCACAACTCATAATAACTGGGCCAAACACAAATAATGGAGATGAGCTTTTCTGTGGTGAGAAGCCTTCATTAACTCCTTCTTGATGATAGATTTAGAACCAGCTCAAAGGCAGCAGTAAGGGATGGTGCGACCCGAGAAGCCCCCCAAAAAAGTCAACCTTCCAGGCGTGAGAACACAAAAGATTAGCTGCTTACGTTCTTCACAGTATTTCCCTTTCCAGCCAGGAAGACAGGAAAGCTGGCCGTCTCGGGTGCAGGTGTAGTGGCCAAAGCGGTCATCTCGGGGCGTGCATTTTTTGGAACAACTTTCGCCGTAGTAACTTTCGTTGCAGATGAACCGGTAGGAATATTTCAGYTCTGTCTGCTCTCCGGTTTGTGTGTCCTGGGACCAGTCGGTTCCTACGCCCAGCTGTCTTTGGATGGCAAAAAAGCTAATCATAAAGTCTGGGTTGTTATCTGAAGAAGAAAAAAAGAAGGGGAAAAAAATGTCAGAATGGATGCAGAAAGATAAAACCTCTTATCTTCTGGAATGATTGTGTTTTTATCGCAACAACTTGATCATAAAGGTCTCGTGGGTTCAAAAGTTGCCCCCCAGTATCCGAGCCGGGTCTCTTATCAAACCCCACACAAGCTAAGATGAAAGATGAACTAAGGTTGAAATTTCCTCTTTCTTCATCAAAAAAACATTCCCAGGCCCGGTTCCCCCCTCCTCCAAAAGGCCACAACAGACTAAGGTGTAAAATACAGGAAGGTGTAGTCAGGGGCTTTTGGCAGGCACTGTGTATTCTCACCAAAGCCCACAGCTCGTTCCCACGCCAAAAATAAACTATAGAGGAAGTTCAATTGTATTGGGTATAAGAATGAAAAAAAAAAAAGGTGTTCTGAAGTTCATAACAAAGGAATGAATAGGCGTGAAAATGGTCTGAGATCATCAACAGTTAGGATGGGAAACGCTAAATGAGACAAAATAACACTAAATAATTCAAAGTTATTGCTTTTTTAAATTTTATGTTTGGTCTAGCTG